AAAGGCATGACGTGAGTGATTCAGTGGGACTCGAAGCGTTATGAGACGCTCATTGATCCCAATAGCCATTTCAGTTAGCCTGTGTAGGATGCGTTGGCGCATGGCAAAGCCAACTCCATAAATGCGGTTTCTCTCTGCAACAGGCTTATCCTTCCAGAAGAAAGTACAACCAGACTCCCGTTCTGTGAGCTGGCTCTCATCTGGGAGCCCAGACTCACCTTCCTTAGCACCCACACTCCAACCATGTTAGGCCATGCAACAGACAAGTTCCTTCACCATTCAACACACTTATTCAATCGATTTCAACGTAATAATTCATGAACATCAGTCACTTTCATCACTAAGAGCATCTATCAAATCACTTTTCATGTTAAAAAAGAACTTTTACAATATCAGAAATTTAAATTACCTTTGTACACAAATCTGCCTTAAACTCGATCTCTTCAGCTTTAATTTTAAGGCTTGTTAGAAAACCATCTTCTTCACGCCCTGCTTTGAAGGGCATTATTGCCTCTGGAACCTAAAAAAGAAAAACCTTGTAAACAAGGAGACAGTAAGACTTTACAGTACTGTATGCACTAATACAGTAATCCTTCTGCTGTGACTTGTGTCATGATGTTGGGGCAATTGGATAACAATTGTGAATTCTGGTTATTATCTTTTACTCCTAATGTTTGGAAATTCTAATTCTCAATTGTCATTTAGCATGACCCATAATCATCATGTTATTGCACAATAATTATATTTCAATAAGTAAATGAACTGAGGACTGTAGATCAGTGGGGATTTAGTCTTTGCATTTAAATTATTTGGGCGTGTTCTCTGATATGAATCACCATTTTACAGTCATTTTCCATGCTTGCATGCTCTAGTAAGTTGTAAGAGCCTTGGAACTCAGTGAGAAATTTAACATAAAAGTTGCTAGAGATATGCCTTGTAACCTGCTCAGTTTTGCTATTGTAGCTATAGAGAGGTTGTGTGTCATATGGTTGGATAGGGTTGATGGCCTTTAGGTCTTACTGATTCAAACATCAGGAATTCGGTACAATACTGTATTCTTCTGACTATTGAAGTAAGAGAGAAAGAAAAAGAACTGCTTTCAGTATAATTTGATTCTGAGGATGTACAGTACAGTGCAGTACAGTACTGAGAGTGAGTATAAAGTAGAATTCTCATTGCTGATTCAAGCGAGTGTAGATAGTGCAAATATGTCATTATGCAACTTTCGGTGCTTCTTTGCTACGGTAAAGGCGTTTATTTTAGATGCACGGAATAGCTAACGCGTTGGCTATTCTGTCTGCGCAGACGCTTCTGCTATTCTGTCTGCGCAGGCGCTTCTGCTGAGTTCTGCGCATAACACCTTGAGGGGGAAAGGGAAATACCTTGAACAGGCGTCAGCATGTGTAGCGCCTGCATATCTAACAACCAATCAGCAAGTTTTTCCAGTAGGTAAATTTGCAGACCATGGCCGCTTATGGAGAATATTTTGATTAATATTGAATAGTTGGGGGCATGTAAGGCAATAAAAATACTGTGATATAATAATAAAAATAATTCTATATACTGTAGTATATTGGATAGGACCTAAAACAAAGCGTATGGTGTGAAAGAATTGAAAAGGATCGCACCTAGTTAACACCTGATTTGGCTCCGCCTTTTTATAAGTGGGTGTTGTCTGATTTCATTAGCCGTTGGTGACTTTGGTGTAACAATATTGATAATTACTAAAATATGAATGAAACTTTAATAACATTACTCATAAGATACTTTAAGTAAGGATGAACAAGTTGATTACAGTTCTGTAAGTGCAAATATTATGACTTAAACTAATCTGATATTCGTCATATTTTATGTATAAATATGCGAACACCTAGCCTTGCGAGACAACATACGTAGTGTGGTTTCAGAGTCCAGGAGAAATTACCTATGCAACCGGCCCAATTTTTTGTATTATATTCTTATTTATTGTTGACTGATTGACTTTTTTTTCCTTTTTATTTTTCTTTCCAAATTTGTCTATATATTTTCTTCACTGTTTCTTTCTGTATTGTGTCCAAATAACAGTTCTCCTAATTTTATTGTTTTCTGAAGACTGTGTTGTACAACAGTTATTCACAAGACTCGGTACTGCCGTATTTTTTAATGGCAGTCCGGGAAAGTTAACGTGATAGTTATTCCATGCATCTACAAAAAACGCTTTAAGTAAAAATGAAAATTAATATTTTTTCATAATTTTGTTAAATATGCATTTTTTGTATTATTGTAAGAAAAAATCAAAGAAAAAATTACTGACTTTGTCACAGCTAGGACCACCTAATTTGAGTAGGAACGATGGTAAATTGCTATGGGAGGAAATAAAGAAGGCATCTGATAGAAACAATGTATGTATTCTAGGCGATTTCAACTTTTCAGGCATAGACTGGCAAATGAATTTTAATACTGATAAATGCAAGGTACTACAGATAGGGAAGACGAATACAAACGTTAAGTATAAACTAGGTAACACGGAAATAGAAAACTCAGTTTGTGAAAAAGATCTAGGTGTATTTGTTAGCAACGACTTGAAACCTAGAAAACAATGTATTAGCGTTCGCAACAAGGCAAACAGGATTCTTGGGTTCATATCAGGTCTGTGAGTAACAGAACTGCTGACGTTATCTTGAAATTTTACCTAGCATTAGTGAGGCCACACATGGATTATGCGGTTCAGTTCTGGTGTCCTTATTATAGAATGGACATAGATTCTTTGGAGAGAGTACAAAGAAGAATAAAAATGATCCATAATATTAGAAACCTTCCATATGAAGAAAGACTGAAAAGCTTAGGCTTACATTCATTAGAGGCGTAGAGTTAGGGGAGATATGATGAGGTGTACAAGTGGGTAGTGGGATTAACAAGGGTAAAATGGAAGATGTTCTGAAGCTCAGTAATAACGAAATAACTAGAACAAATGGCTTTAAATTAGATAAATTCCGATTCAGAAAGGATATAGGCAAGCACTGGTTTGGTAATAGAGTTGTGGATATGTGGAATAGGCTACCGAGTGCTATAGTAGGATCGGGGACGCTAGGGAGCTTCAAGACGAAGTTGGATAGGCACATGGAAGTGCTGGGATGGGTGTGAAAGGGATCTGCCCTGTATGGGCCAGTCGGCCTCCTGCAGTATCCCACTTTCTTATGTTCTTATGTTCTTATTCATTAGCCAGAAGCTGAAGGGTTAAATGCTGAAGACAATACTGTATTGTAGTGACTTTGAATAATTAATTTCAATATGAAGGCTCAGAAGTGCCTATACATGTACTGTACTGTACTGAACACCTATACTACAACAGGCTGATGTAACTGAATAAATTACAATAATGAGTATTATGATAACTGAGTTAATAGTATACTGTACAGTACAATATGGGGCTAATGTATGAGATGGTGCCTCTAAGAAGGGCCCTGTCCACTTAGTGCAGTATTAATAACAGAGGAGGAAAAATGGCCCATAACTCAAAACAAAACATTTGCATAAGAAATGGTTATCATCAGGAATTTGTGTTTTTTATATTTATATTTATCCAAAATGGTGTTCCTAATATGATAATGTGGAAAGCTATGTTTGGCAAGTTTCTGTATTCATGAAATAATGATTGAAAGAGAATTTTTGCTTCCATACCTGTAACAGATAACTGACACTAAAAGCAAAGCATGCCATATCAACAGGGAATTTTCTGGAATTTATGGATCCATCATACCAGCCAACGAATTTTCCATTTTTCAACACGGGTGTTGAAATGCCTGTATGTGTCACTAAACCAACAGGCCACATTGACACACCCTTTGTATATCGCATCTGTTTGAAGAAAATATATATAATAAACAGGACATGCAAGTACGAGTAAAATACAGTACAGTACAGTACACATGCATACTCAAATGAGGAGGTCACAATTTGTATTCTTGCTGTAAATACATGAATTCATATTTTGTCACTTAACACCTTTATTGTATCTGTATCTGAATCAACAAATTTGTTTAACTACCGTACTGTACTGTACATTTATCACAAGCATCATACAACGAACTAACCTTTATTCACAGTACAGAAAGTTTTCAAAGGAAAGACAAACCTCTTCGAACACCCTAATGTCATAGGTGTTGTCATCATCGGCAAAGTAAACAACCCCTGTTTTAGCGTGTGTCCTCACCCACTGAAGACCTGCATTACGGTTAGCCACGCCCCTGGGTTTAACACGGAGCTTCTTGTACTCATTTGGCATTGGAGCTGTTGAAAGTGGGGCAAATGGACAGCTTAAAAATTTTGGAATGGAAAGTCTTGGAATTCAGGTACAGTAGCGAGTAAAAAGTGATTTCCCCCTATGTCACTCCATTACTCTGGTGAATTAAAAGATACAATCATTGGCCTACTGTGTATCTAACTTTAACTGGAACAATTCAATGACAATGAGCATTACATTCTGAGTCTAAACCTAAATGTTATTGTTTGTAGTATTGCTTGTGTTTTGTTACTGCTGGTTTAGTGATGGTTTGTTTAAATTTCTAATAACTATGGTAATATTTCTTGGAGAATTGTGTGGTTTAGCTGCAAAAGATATCTTAAATAGTTTGTACCCAAAAATGAAATCCAGATTTGTAAAAACTACATTGACAAGTTAAAAAATGTGTTACGTCTAAATGAAATTGTTGTCAGTACTGTCCAGTATTGTACTTGTAAGTGCAAAAAAATAATACTTTGCAGTGCAAAAAAATACTTTTGACTGGCCATGTTACCCACATGGACAACAATAGACTGCCAAAGGAGCTACTTTGCAGTCGCCTAACGAATAGCAAACGTAATGCTGGCGGGCAATTGAAAAGGTATAAGGATAGACTTAAAACAAACCTGAAAAAATGCCAAATCGACCCCTTCACCCGGGAGTCGATTACTCCACATCGTAACGCTTGGAGGAGCACCACACGAGAAGGTGTCAATACTTTTAAGTTAGCCCGACTACAAACCGAGGCAGACAAGCGACAACGCCGGAAAGACGCTGCCACAGCCCCTCCTGCAGTAGATGGAGCCCTCTACATGTGCTACGAATGTTAACGACGCTGCGGGGCCCGTATTGGTCTTTTTAGTCTCCTTAAAACTTAACAACCTAGGTGACATCCCTAATAACTCATATCGTTGTATCATAGCTGGATGATCGTCATACTCGATTCCGAGTGACAGCAAAGTACTGTAGTATCTTACCCCAGAGGCTGCCGGACGAATTTGTAGATTGCTGTTGTTCAAGGTCTAGTGGGTCGAGGGAAGGCTTGTAGATGAGGTAAAACAACACTAGCAGACTTCCACACACCATCATATGCATTAGTAACCATCTCCTGTAACACCACCAACCAGTTTATATGTAAATGTTCCAATACGACTTTCAGTGGTCTAATGCAAGTTTTAAGTTGTCTAAAGAGTTATTAGTTCTCTAATACAGGTTTTAAGTTGTCTAAAGAATTATAATTTTTCTAATGTAAGTTTTAAGTGGTCTAATGACAGTTATTAGTTCTGTTATGCAAGTTTTAAGTGGTCTAATGAAAGGTTTTTACCGGTAGTACTCTAATGCAAGTTTTAAGTGGTCTAATGAAAGTTATTAGTTCTGTAATGCAAGTTTTAAGTGGTCCAATGAAAGTTTTTACCGGTACTACTCTAATGCAAGTTTTAAGTGGTCTAATGAAAGTTTTTACCGGTAGTACTCTAATGCAAGTTTTAAGTGGTCTAATGAGAGTTATTGGTTCTTAATGCAAGTTTTAATTGGTCTAATCAAAGTTATTACCGGTAGTACTCTAATGCAAGCTGTAAGTGGTCTACTGCAAGTTTTAAGTGGCCTAACTCACGTTTTAAGTGGGTTAATGCAAGTTTACAATTCCCTTACATATGTACCATATATACTGTACATGTAGAGAATAGCAGCAGGTATTTATTTATTTATTCTCGTGGCCACGTACCGAAAAGACCCAACTGGTGTAAAGTTGTAGCGACCACCATCGCTATGACTGAAGAACCCAAGAACCCAAGGGACTTTATTCCCCTAAGTAGGCAAATAATAATTATATTTTAGTGCAAATGTGTTACTTAGAGAAATTATCCCTAGTTTTCTGAAGTTGGATGTCAATAACCTTCTGACTCTATATAGATTGTTTTTATTTAATAATGTGGTGTTTTCAAACAGTATCAAATAAGGCTCAATGGGAATAAAGTGTGTTATATACTCCGCAGCCGCTTGGCGACGCCAACGTCGCAAAGGGTAAAAAAATTAGCGTCAGAACCCTTGCTTAAATCAATCTGGCAAGACCAAATAATTCTGTAATTTAATATAAGTGGGAGAGAACAAGTACAGGCAACGACGTAACCCCCAGGGAATGAATGGTATTGTGTTAGGCTCCCTTCAGGCTGCACAGTTTAAAAATACAGATTTCAATGGGACCCTTCACACGATCGTGAGCGGGAAAAGTTCTCCTTACATGCGCCGTCACAGGCTGTGACTCATAACACGCCTGTACTGCTAACCCGCAAAATGAAAAAATGAGCGAGTGAACGGCTGATAAAATTACATATGCCCGACCGAGTGGGTGAAAACACGCTCGTGTGAAGGAATCCTTATTGTTACCTTGGAGAAACCACTGCGCAGCTGCGAACACACTTGGGCTAGTTTTAAAAAAAACACACCGGTGGTTTATATGAGTGATGTCAATGGTGATGTCATATACGAGTCATACATTCTTTTTATTTTTTTCATCCATCTGCTGAAGGAATTGCCAGACCGTTTGTGGATTTTCATTTTATTGAAAGTATGTACATGAGGCCTATCCCCCCGTTATGAGCAATGCAGATAGAGCTTACTGTGCAGCATACTGAGCAGAAAAAGTTGGGCTGGGCGTTGAATGTGTCGTTGTCAGGTGGGTATACAGTATATTTTATTACCGAGTCTCGTGTTAATGGTGTTTTCTATCGAAGGTTTATCTTAGATTAAAAGATGGCACTTATAGAGCTACAGCTGTACCTCAAAATATTACAGTATTCATCTTCAGGCCATCACCAGTCTTTTATATTACTGTATGTAGGTGCTTATAACTGCTTTGAGCTCATATAAGAACATTTGACTGTTGCCACAGTCCCAGAACTGCTGTCAATTTATCCTTGCTCGAGTATTCATGTGAGTACAATTTTACCACCTACGGCGACAGACACAACTACCCAGATCTATCTCACTTAACCAAACCAGACCTAAGGCTGTTGTTCTGGCAAGGTTTTACTAACTAAGGCTGAGTTTACTTAAGACTGATACGTATTCTTCATCGTCAAGTGTGAATTATTGCACACACGTACTTTTTTTTTTATTGGGCACCTCCCCTACATCCTTGTGTAAGGTGAAGCGCAGAAGCGTTTACAGTGCCCACCAGGGAAGCATGCTAATTTCATGCTTGCCTTTATGTGTCATGAGTTAAGGGCGTAGAAGCCTGAAGAGTCAAGGGCATAGAAGACTGAAGAGTCAATGGTTTATGTCATCAAGTTATTGGAAGCTCCAAAAACTTGTTCCTGAATACGAATTCGCAATTTTCGATTTACAACAGGTACCTACTTTACTGCTAGCTGAACAGGGACTAATGGGGGCTAGGAAGTATGTCCAAACAACTTCCACCGGCCCGGGAATCGAATCCGTGATATCTCGCTTGCGAAGGCAAGGGCGGTACCACTCTACCACCAACATCCCTCACACACGTACTTAAGTGTTGGTAGTGCTGTGGTACCGAGCGTGTCTCGCGATTGTGTTCTGGGTTTATTCCTGACCTGGACAGATATAAGAAGGGTTTTACCCAGTTCGACCCTGCCAAACGTCGCAGGGTTTTTTCAGTTAAGCAACAGGCTGCGATGTAGATACTCTACCCAATCAACCAATTCCCTGGTACGCCAGGTTACTCCTGTAACAGGACACTAAACAACAAAGGTCATAACAAGGTAACAAGGAACAGACCAATCCGCCGAACAGCTACCTAGTGAGCTGATATGTAGTGAAATAATAAATAGAAATGTCAAGTATTTCCCCAATCTCATCATCACCGTTTCATGACCATTATTCACACTTGTGTGGGTTAACGATGATTCCCTTATGCCGTGATATAGCGGTTAGCTTCAGGCAAATTTGTAGTGAGGTTTACTGCTGGCTTCCTTTCCTATCGCCAACCCGCTATTACAGAGTGGAAACTGGGCGTTATATGTGTAGAGTCAGCAAAGAAAGTACATTATCTCTACCCCTGCCATCTGCAACATTCTGAAACATTGGACAAACTTAAAACTTTTTCCTGTGCTTGTAGTTGTGTATTGGTAGGCCTGCTGCTGTTCTTGTATGGCTGTGTTAGTATAAATCACATTTCATGATAATTCTATATTTATTTCATCCGTTTGTATGTTACGGTACCTTGGTCGTGTGTAGAATATAAACTATTCTTTAATACATGTAAATACATTATGGGTTGCAATATTTCATGAGGTATATATAAAGGAAAACTACTTGCTGGTGCATTTGGAAAGTTAACACACTCGTCTTTCATAACACAAACCTTTCGTTATAGTTCAGCAAAATCATGGTATTTTTATCTATCTATCTCCATCTGCCTGCCTGCCTGCCTATATCTATCTATCTATCTATCTATCTATCTATCTATCTATCTATCTATTTATCTATGTTGACTCTTAATTTAAGAAACAAGTTTTCTTCTATAGATGGTTTGTGTAAGGTGGCTATTAAATTACATGGTATAAAAAAATTAAAGTTAAATACAAATAAATCGCTGTTTGTTTGCGCGATCCATGTATATGCTGATAACTAACCACATAGGAAAAAAGAAAACAGGAAGTCTCTTGCTGACCAGCAGCCGTTTCTTCTCCTATAGAATATATGGGACTAGGAGGAAATCCCCCAAGATCTCAACTTTTACTTTTACTTACTTTATCCTCTTCACCACTGATCGGCTCGTTAGCCGCTTGGGCGATCGGTCACGTCTCTGTTACGCACTGTTGGCAAGTACTGGGCATGCACTGGCTCCTGAATGTACCTGAACCCGCTCCAGTGTTGGTCAAGTCTTGTCTTGAAAGAGCTCACACTCGGTGCCGTCACAACACTTTCTGGTAGATTGTTCCAAGAGTTCACAACTCTCACTCCGAAAAAGTTTGCCCTCGCAGTTTTCTGGACTTATGGCTTCTTCAATCTTGAGCTGTGACCCCTTGTGGGGCGAGCGTCCGCCAGCTCCAAGTAAGGACACTCGACTGAGTAGTGCCCCTTGAGATGCTTATACACCTCTATTAGGTCACCCCTTGCCCGTCTGTAGCATAAGCTAGGGAAGATGAGGCACCACCATCAATTATCATCTCCAGGAAAATGAGAACGGAGACGAATCAGATTGTTGCAACTACCGCGGGATGTCGCTGCTGTCCACAGTTGGTAAGTTTCTCGCCCAAGTCCTCTTTAACAACATTTGGAGAAGCACCGCACGAGTGTTAATAAAACCTGAGTTTAAAATTCATTAAGTCGATGAAACTGTATCTATTGTATTTTGCAAATATTTTTGGTGATATACTATAATTATTTTAATAGTACAGATATTAACCAGGTGTCATCTATCTTTTTGTAAATGTCGTAAAGTACGTTTACTTATCTTATTTAGGTACACCATGGCGACAAAACACCTTCATCGATCTTCACCACTCCCAATCTTTTTGTGGTTACCCACGTAATGCAGTATATATATATGACGCTTCGTTTATGGCATTGCCCAATTCATAAACTGGGCAGTCATTTGATCCAGTTAGTGAAATGGGTTCCTAACCTAACTTAAACCAAGCGGTCATAACCTTACCCCGACCCAACCTAATCTATCCAATCCTGACCTACATTAACCTAACCTAGGTTAGCAAAGTTAGGTTGGGTTGGTTTGATTTAGCGTAATTTGGGAATCCATTTCACGGAATGGACAAAATGACTGACCAGTTTATGAACTGGGCAATTCCATAAACGGGGCAAATCATATACAGGTACACTATGATTTAAATTAAAATTCGAGTGCAAAATTTGTAACATATACTAACACGTTCTTAATATGTCACATCAGTTTCAGTGTTACACTTCAACTTCATGTGACGGTTTCCGAACATCGTGAAAATAATGCTGTACGTGTACGTATGCACCGGTAAATATCTGATCTACTATATGGCTTGTCTTGCATCAGATAATATTGCAAATGAATTTTGCGCGAGTATGACATTTCGTTGTAGTGTTTACCTTTGGCGTTATCGATGTAATTTCAAAAGTAAAGTGATAAAGATATAA